CGCCAGCTCTCAAGCTCCCTAAACAGACTGTCGCTCAACACCGCCTCTACAACACCGCTACCGCCGTCCCCTGGGCCAAGATCGCCGAAACCACTATTACGAACCTCCTCGAGCAATCTGAGTCTCGATCGCCGAACGAGCGCTTCTCCGGCACTCGCAAGGAAGTCTTCCACGAGCTCGTTGAGGAATGGCAGTGCACCGTCGACACCACGAAAACTTGATTCGAGACGATCGCTCTCTAATCTAAGGGCTTCGGCGTCGCCGGATCACAAAGCGCTTCCTGTGGCGCAGGCTGAGATGGCGAGGGCTGAGCCTGTGACGGCTGCTAGTGTTGCGAGGGAATACTTTAGGAGAGAGTTGGCGCAGCATGAGGAGGGCCTTCGAGAGTGAGTGCTACCTCTTGTACCTTTTATACATGGGATGTGGAGGAAAGATTTGGAAGATGTTGCGCTATCCCAAGGGTCTTGCCAGTGCTGACAGTCGCAAACAGCCCTCCCTCGACTGTAGTCATCCTCCACGACTCCTGCTACGGCCACAGATACTCGCGCCCGAAGACCTCGAAAGCCAACCTTAGCATGATAGTCGAGCGCCCAGAACGCATACGCGCAGGCGTCTTGGGTATCTCAGCCGCCTACGTGCGACTCGGCGAGCGCCATGCAGGAGGACGATACGCGCCTCACCCGCACAATGCGCTGCCTTCTACACTACCATTCTGTATACGAAGAACCGCTCGTTCTATCGACATCAACTCTTCGCCAGTTACAAATGTCCATGGCACGAGTTGGATGGCAGAATTGAAGGAGATGTGCGCCTCCGCGGAAGGCAAATTGGCGACCACGGGTAAAGAGCTTGTTAGGGATGAGGAGGGGCAGCCGGGCAAGGATAGGCTGCATGAGGGCGACCTCTACCTCTGTCCAGAATCTTTGGGCGCGTTTCAGGGGGCGCTTGGTGGAGTCTTTGACGGAGTTGATGCCGTCTTTAGCGGTGGTGAGTACATCCAGGTTCCCCAGAAAGCACTTCGCATTATTCTCACGCCTTCAATCACGGGTTGAATCGAGAAAACATAACTTTCGTGTTGCGTTTGGGTCGTATCCTCAGCTTGACGACTATACGATGGACTTCCATTGGTCAGACGAGTTCCTTAGCACTGACTTGCTTGGGCAGACAGCGGTGGCAAGCACGCATTTGTATGCATCCGACCACCAGGCCACCATTGCTCCGCCGACTTTCCGTCAGGATTTTGCTGGCTAAACAACGTCCACGTCGGCATCGAATACGCCGCACAGGCGTACGGCTTAACCCATGCTGCGATCATTGACTTCGATCTCCACCATGGCGACGGCTCGCAAGCCATCACGTGGGAACGCAATGCCAGGAACGCAAAGATGCCTAAGAACACGCCGGCTCATAAGAGGCCCTCAATCGGCTACTTCAGCTTACACGACATCAACTCTTATCCCTGCGAGTATGGCGATGAAGAGAAGGTACAGAACGCCAGTCTTTGCATCGAGAACGCGCATAACCAAACGATCTGGAACGTGCATCTACAGCCTTGGAAAGCAGAAGCGGAGTTCTGGGAGCTCTATGAGACACGGTACTCCGTCTTGATCGACAAAGCTCGAGCTTTTCTTCGCAATCAGACGCAGCGTGTACTCAGCAGCCCGAACCGTCCTCAGCCTAAAGCTGCTATCTTCCTGTCGGCAGGCTTCGACGCTAGCGAGTGGGAGAGCGAGGGCATGCAGAGACATAAAGTGAATGTCCCTACCGAGTTCTACGCGCGCTTCACGAGAGACGTCGTCCGTATGGCCAAGGATGTTGATACCGGCGTTGACAACCGAATCGTCAGCGTGCTAGAAGGAGGATACTCGGATCGGGCTCTGGCAAGCGGCATCATCAGCCATCTCAGCGGCCTTGCTGAAAACAGTGAAAGTAGTCAGGGGGACAAGACTGAGTGGTGGCATAGCTCGTGCCTCACCGCTCTGGAAGGCCTTGTCAATCCAAGTGCACCAGCAGCTGCGAAGAAGCTGAAGAATGGACCACCGTCGACCTTTTTCTCTACTACTCAATCTTTCTCCGCGAAGGTTGTGGATCCGTCGAAATTGTCGCGGAGTATTTCGGGCACGTTGCGGACCACTCCTCCGAGAAGTAAGTCACACTCCATCAAACTTATGTCAGTCCGTTCGTTCCTGGACTTTCTCAAAATCGAGTGAGGAGGGATCTTTCAAACTGTCTATCGCCAAGAAAGTATGGATTTACGTCAATGAGGGCCGCTTACCTACTCTGGAATGTTCTTAAGGAGCGCCAATCCATGATCCGGCAAATCTTTTTGCTAATCTCTAGTTGTAGGCCTCACACCTCCACCACCAGACGTCGACTGGGCTACTGCAGCCCATGAACTCAGCAAGCTTCTGATCCCGACAGATCGCCAGACACGGAGTTGCCTGCCCGAAGAACTCTCGGAGCCAAAAGTCAAGAAGGAGAGGCAGTCTATCGCGGTCTTGCCTCCCGATCCCAGCGGACGGCAGCTCAGAGATCGGAAGTCCAAAATGCCAAGCTACACTGCACCAGCCTCAGATGATGAGGCACTTCCTTTACAACCAGCGGCCAAAGACACCAGCCGGCGGAAGACCATGGCTGTCCTGCCGCTGGATGAACCAGAGCCTGTACAGGCGTCTTCGAGGGTGCCGAGCAGGCGGCTGAGCGTTGCATCTACCATCAGCTCCACAAACGGCGATCGCAGCACTCCTCCGCTCCCTGTTAACAGAACCGCTCGACCAGCGCCACCTAACATGCAGGTAAAGAAGGTCAGAGCGCCCGGGAAAGCGCAGGTGGAGAAACCTCCGGTGCCAGTCAGACAGCCCAGTGTATCCCTTGATCCTTCTGAAAATGCTACGAAACCAAAACTCCCACAGACGCTGGAGAATCAGACCTCGCATGAGAACGACGGAATGGATCAACTAGCATCGAAGCTCAAGCGGATCACCATCAAAGTCCCTCCCAAGGAGGAATACGAAGCTCGGCGGCAGCAGAGGGAAGCCGATGCGGCCAAAAAGGCGGTAGCGAAGCCGGCGACGCGCAAAGCGCCCCCGCCCAAGACTACGAAGGCTGCTGCCTCGAAGGCAAGCAAAGCCGGACAGACGTTGGTCGTCGAGGGCAACGGTAATTCTGGGGAGGCCGCACCGTATGTCAACCCTACGCTACCACAAACCCTTGATCCTTCGGCGGACCATGCCACGCATGACACTACCTCAACTTCCGCGGCCACGCTTACTGCATCCGCTACAGCCAACCACGGCGTCAACCCGCCGGCTCCAGCTAACGCAACCCCCGCACCGCCAACCGCATCGCCCTTGCCTCCAACACCAGCCTCTCCGCCAACCTCCTCGACTGCCGCTCCACGCGCACCCGAAGCCCCACCCAGTGATGTCCTCCAAGTAGCCACTACAGCCACAGCCACAACCACAGACTCCATTCCACCCACCACCTCCCCGCTTCGCCCCGCTACCCCTCCGCCTCAAGCAACCCAGTTTATCCCATACGTCCCCCACCCATCCAACACACCCCAGCACCACCCCGCTACTCCGGCACAGCCGCTCCGTTGGCTCCCGCCTAATTCCGATGCAGAGGCTACGGGCGGCGGGGTTGTGTCACCAGGGCGGAAGCAAAAGGCGCTACCTGTGTTTTCGGCGGATGGAGTTATTCCGTTTGGGACGGCTCTGGTGCCGTCGGCTGTGCAGGGCTCAAACGGCGCTGCGATGGGTGCTGGACAGCGTGGATCGGAGAGAAGCGGGGTGGGTGTGGACGGGAAGGGGGAAAGAGGGAAGAGGGGGGATTTGGGAGGTGCCTGATACGCCGGTGCGGTGATGGGGTGTTACGGAGCTGGTTTTCTTCTGATTTTGGGTTGCGTTTGGATAGAGATACCCCGATTAGTTTTCCTGGCGTATATCTTGGTTTATTGCGGGGCCTAGCAGAGCTCTATGAGGTAGTCAGAGTTCTGCCGACTTGGTATAATTACACGTACAGACCCTCCTCCTGTACGCCTTAAAGCAAGCTTGCCTCACAGACACAGGTTTCTCCATCGACAGACTATGATTGTGTCCATAGAGATTCGTCCACAAACCCGTCCGTCTTCACAATATTCATGTAGCCGTCCAGACCGTCCTTACATTTGCGGGCGGGTTTCGGGAGTGTGAAGCACGGCAGAGAGAATGCCGTGGTGCGGATTGAGAATGATAGTAATATTATGCTGAGTTGACTATGTTTGTTCAATCACGGCTGCGAGATAAGAATTGAAAATTTTCGCTGAGGCTGATGAACTAAGGGCTGTGTGAGCGGATGGAGGTCCCTAGAGATGATAGGAAGACGTTCGTCTCTCGGAAATTGTGATGGTGTTAAACCGCTCGGCTGATACTATTCTCTTGATTGCTTACGCGATAGACATCCCACAATCTCCGTGTTGATAAGTCGACGAGCTGTGAGGCACAGCTACATGAAATACTTAATGCAGCTTTAAAAGAAACATCGTTCAAAACGTGCTCCTAGCCCGAGCCTCCACACAAGAAGCTGAAACATCCTGGGCTGGCAACCTTGAGCCATAAGTGAAACAAGTGAACAGTCCCAAAAGCGGTGAGCATGCGCGAAAAGTGAGTAGAAAAGGCGGATAGACGAAGCGGTTGACTCGCTACTACAACATCGGAGAGCGAAAGGAAGTATACAAATATTTCTCGCCTCGACCTTAAAGTTTGAAGTCCCGAGGAACCGACCGTGTGAAAGCCTCTTACGATGAATCTGTTGAGCCAGATGGATGCGTTTTGGACAAGATGCGTGCTAGGAGTGTGAGAGGTAAACGAGGGAGTTCTCCGGTCGCACTAGAGCGAATAAGGCGTAGACGCTCGGCTAGAGCGGGAATCCAGCACACTTCGTCGAAAACAAGCGCCAGCAAGAGAGAACAAGCTGGGGACGTTTAAGGAAAGCCATCAGAATGCAAAAAGTCAAAAGAAAGCCCGATGCGGGGTCGAACCCGCAACCTTGAGATTAAGAGTCTCACGCTCTACCGATTGAGCTAACCGGGCTGTTGTTGAAGTGAAGGTGCTATGTTAACGTAATATAATTCTAAAACAAGTGGAAAAGCGCAAACGACTCGACCAGACGGAGTCTCGAGAGTCTTACAAGACCTCCATCGACCCCACCGCCAGAATGACCGTAAAACTCATATAGCTAACTTCAAAGGTCCAAGGATATAATCTCTGTAAAACCGCACCATGATTAGGAATATTTTGAATACTATGTACTCCTCGCTCTCTGTCTGAGATATGGCACGGAGGCATGAGAGTATATTCGACTCTAGGCGTACACATAGGCTTCATGAGGTAGGTCCTGTCTCTGGTCTCTTTCGAGATTCATATCGTGGCCTGGTTCACCACTTGATCGATAGACGGCTTTAAGCAGACTTCAAACCATGTAGGTCAATCTGATATGCGACCAATGCTACGAAGGTAGGGTATCTTACAAGGCACAAATTGGCAGAAGGAAAGAAGCATACAACAGAACTCCGCAGCTCCTCAAGAATCGTGGAGAGAGGACTGAGAAGGAAAAATTCTCAAAATGCCTGCATCATCCACTTTGACCAACTTTGCATCCTCTCACTTCGCTCATACTTTCATACCTGCATCTCCCGTAACCTCTCGTACCCTCCAACCCTCGCTGACTCTCACTGAACCGCCATTCCGTCGAGCTTGCCGCACCATTCACCTTTCAAACCGTGGGAGGTAAACTTGACACCTACTCATCAGCCAACAACGGCGCCCTCTCCCTATCTTCGCTAACAATCTCCCCCGCTTGAACGGGTCGCGTCCAAGCAAGCCCGGCACGCCGACCGCGAGAGAAAGGAAGAACAGAATCCCCATAATGATGAACGCGAAGATCCACTGGAACGCAATCGCATGCGTCAGGAACTGCGATACGCCGAGGGCTGCGCCAAAGTCAGCACACAGGGGCTCTCTCGTCTCTCGCTCCGTCCGGGAGAGAACTTACCAGCCGCAAGGACGCTCAGCTCAAACCCCATCGTGTAATCCTTAAACGCCGCCAAAAAGAACACCCCATACGCCAAAATGCCCCAAATAGCGATATTCGCCAGAATCCTCGCCGGGAGGCCATGCGCATGCACCATAGCAGCCCCGCACCAATACAACGCGACGAAGTTCCACGCCAGCGGGCCACTGACGACCGGAATATGGATGAAGCGCGGCGTCTTCGAGTGCCGGAAGTAGGCCGCCGAAAGGTTGAAGAAGTTGATGATGAGCAGCACCTCCGCGATCACGAAATGGCCCCGTACCCAGAGCATGATGAAGCCGAAGAGGAGGAGGTTGTGCGCGATGAAGTGGCTGCCGACGTTGCAGGCGGCGCGCACGTAGACCTCGTTGCCGGAGTAGAGGTGCCAGGCGTAGCCGATTTGCATTATGTAGAGGACGAGCCTGTGGGGTGTGAGCTTGGTGTACACTGTATACTGCGGAGGTCTTCCTGATCCGCTGCGCGGCAGGCTAGGGAGGGAAGCGGGGCTTGCGTAACTTACCAGTACACGCTCGTAATAACCGAGTTCATCGCGAACGGCGTATGGTGGTGCCTATTCTGGCCCCAGATCGTGTGCCGCTCATGCTTGTGCTTGCCGTCGTGCGGCGCCTCGAAGGTGTAGTAGATCGACGTGACGACGACTAGGAGCCACGAGAGCGCCGTGAGGATCTTGTAGGTGATGATGCTGCGGCGGGGGTATTCGTCGCGGTCCATGAAGGGATTGACTGCGGAGCTGTCAGCCGCTGTTTGGTGCGCGCCGCGTGGGCTGCTTGCCTGAGTGGACCCCGTCGTGGACTTGGTCCAGGACTTCGTTGGCGTCTGGCATGATGCTCCGCAGGAGTCGTGCTGGGAAAAGTGGTAGACTGCACAGCTATCCAAGTGGTTTGCGCGCGTTTACTGTGTTATGGGCGGAGCAGCTCTGCTGCGACGTCATATCAGCCCGACTCGCATTGGCCAAGGAACGCGTGATGGCTTGCATAAGCGTCCCCCGCTTCGGGGATATTGCCGTGTCCATCCAAAACTCGTTCTCAAAGCCGTTACCGGTAAAGGTAAGCATTTTGACCGTAAAATACATACGCTTGCGGTCCAACGAGGAATGGTTATCTAAGACATCCGTTACCGCATTGGAAGCGACTTGCGGACATCGAGGTGGATAGTCCAGACGTAGTGTTTTGAGATCGAGGATATCTCTAGGATTCATGCACTAAAGGGTTAAGCTGCTAAACTTCTTATCGCTTCTATGGCGCCAAACTGGTCTGGTTATTCAAACCTTAATATGATCAAGAGTGCAGCTCGACCGTGGCATTGGCAATGAATAAGTAGGAGCTAAGATGCGGCAACGAACTTTTGGATGGCCCTTGAAGGTCTGCAGTGGAACGAGGTCGGATATCCTCGGCGGCCTCCTGTACGACAAACTCACGGGCATCGACTCTGCAAGGGAAGACAACTGCAAAAATAGCACGTCTGAAGTCCAAAGTATGGTCATCTTATTGACACAGCAGCTTGAAGTGATCTTGTTAAGAGCAGTTCTTCTGTCAGCTCCAATAATCTGGCTTGCGTCTAGCTATTACGAGCCAACATGACATTCAATGCCGACACCGCTCAAAGCCCACCCCCAAAAAACACCATCGCGAATGCCATCTCTCAAATCTCCGTCTCCGTCTGCGGGCTCGCCATCTCCTCATCCGCCTCTCCCTCTCCCTCCTCCTCTCCCACCTCTTCCTCCAGCGGCTCCTCAAGCTCCTCACTCCCCTCCGCCCCATCCTCTCCATCTCCCACCGTCTCCCCCGGCCCCTCCCTCTCAAGCCTCAACCACTCATCCCACTCCGGAAACATATCCTCATCCGCCTCCAGCCCCTCCGTCCCCGGCGGCACGCCCAGCATCTTACTAACCCTCCCCTTCCCCTCTTTTCCAGCGTCTGCTTCCACTGGCTCACCACCTGCGGCGTCCTGCTAGGCTTATACGTCTGCGAGAAGAGCACCGCCTCCGCGACCCTGTTGGTGCGGAGCAAGAGCTCAATACACCCATCCACGTCGCCGAGCTGCCACAGGCACGAGAAGGCCACATTGTGCGCCGCGGCCTTCTCCGCCATGTCCGTAAGCTCACGTAGGCCGTCCGCGTTGCTCGTGCTGGTGTAGAGCAGCAGCAACGAGCCCATGTCTTTGGCGTGCGAGAAGCACTCCTCGGCCAGTGCAATGTTCCACGCGCTCAGTGCTGCATCACCGACTGTTTTCCACTTATGTTCCGCGTCCGCCTCGCGCGCGATGCTGAGCGCGACGTCCAGCTTATTAAGCGCGAGGGCGAGCTCGAAACGGTGCTCCGCGTCCGTAGCGACCTCGAGCGCCTCCTCCTTATACCCCTGCCCCTCCAAAAACCTCGCGATCTTATTCTTCTGGTCATTCGGGATCTCGTTCAAAATTTCGTTGGCGGCCTCCATCTCACCCCTGAGGACAAGGGTCTGGTACTCGACGACGCTGAGGCTGAGGGCGTAGGAGACGATGGAGACGTCGCGGTCGGCGAGGTAGACGCGCCCGTCGCGCGGGAGGTAGCCCAGGACGTAGTGAGGGGCGTCGAAGTGAGCGATCGTGTAGGTCTGATCTCCAACGACTTTGCATCCTGCAGTTAGCGCGAGGTATCCCGCGAGGTTTTCCGAATGCACTTACGGTAGTTCAGCCGGTTGGTGCTGTTTGTGTAGATGAAGCAGTCGCCGCTTGTATTTGATCAGTAAGGATAGCAGCAAGTACAGTCAGACACTACAAGACTTACACCCACTGACCGGTGCGCACACTGTTGTTATTCGTTAGCATGATCCGCAAGGAACTCTCACAGGGTCCACTCACGTCTCGTTGATGTCCGTTATAACCTCAAAGGCAGATTCCACGCCGTCATCCTCGACCTCACCCGCCTGAAGGGCAGCAACATAACTCTCCCTAGAAAAGCGAAGGACGTAGAATGTATCATCGCAGGCCAGCGTAACCAGCTCGCCGCTCTCTGACCAGTAAACCTGCGCAAAAGTCAGACCCCCAAGCTCCGCCTAAGCGAATCGGTGTAAGCAACTCACATTCTTCGGATCCACCTCAATTCGCCGGATCAGCGCCCCCGAATCCCAGTCAAAGAAGCCGATCCCTCCCTGGCCTTTCACACCAAGCAGCGTCCCCCCGTAAGGCCTTCAGCTTGAAACCCAACGTTCAACCCACCACTGCCCTTCTCCTTGAAGTTCCGGAACATCTTCACGCTTGTCGTAGACTCCCGAATAGCGTAATCCTTGTCATTCTCCTTGCTCGCCCACGCGAAATCAAGCGCAGAGCCAAATGCCTGATTCCGGAGCGCAAGCGCCGTATAAATGATATACTCACCATCCCCACACACAGACACAAATCTCCCATTCGGGCTATGCAGAAGAGACTGCGGATATATCTCCGTGCTGCCCAAGTCCTTGGTCGGTAGTGTCAGACGCTCACCGTCCTTGAGACTCTTGTCTGCACCTTTGATGACCGTCGTGAGGATCTCGGAGTGTCGTGCGAAGATGACTTTGCCGGAGCTGTCCATGGATACCGCGGGCTCTTCGCGGCCCATCTTGATCATGACGGCGCCATCGTCGAAGCCGATCGCGATGCCTTGCTTGCCTCGCTGGTAGGCGCAACACCAGGCACGCTCGAGGCCGTAGTTGAGGCTTTGCTCCAGTCGGTAGGTGTTGGCATTCCTGCAGACGGGTTAGCGGATGTATTTCTCTTCCACTCCACTACATCAAGCGTTGGCGCATACCAAAGCTTGATAGAGCCATCCTCGGAGCCGCTGATGATGATAGGTAGTTCAGGATGATAGCAGGCGAACGACACATTACTGGTATGGCCTTCGAGCGTGGCTATCAGTCCCTTCGTTTGATAGTCCCAGACCTGTGATCACGGATCAGCGGAAAACCCTCAGTCATGATATCCATGGCTGATCCCCACATACCTTTACTGTTCGGTCGTCGGAAGTGGTAAGCATGTAAGGCTTATC